AACTATTTGGTTCCAACTATATGTTCTTTGCACTTTGCCATATGGGATAAGATGCTCATGGCAGCCTAAATGTTGGGAGTGCCATGTCAGTCTTTTGAGCCCTTAAGTTGATTGTGCAGGCTCTAGCTGTGCTGAGAAAAGACATGGTTGGCATTACCTATCAGCTTGGTGGCAGGAAGTGAGAACAAATCTCTCGAAGGAGCTGTAGCTTCTTTCACTGGGTGTGTCTTCCATAGAATCATGCTTGGACACAGCTGGATGGGACCCGCAGCTTCCGTCATGGGGCCACAGACAATATGCAGTCTTCTAGACCAGTGGTCTTATTGTTGCTCAGCATCGCTAAGCTGGGAACACCCACCACCTCTCTTGAGCGTCTGTTTCAGCTCCTGCCAGCCTCCGTGTGATGTTCTTTCTACCTTGACTTTCACCTAGGTAGTTAGTGCCTTCTGTCTTGGTCCTTAGACTTGCAGAGAAATTCTCAGATTTTGGCTTATAACAGTTGGGTCTCCCGCCCTTTCTCTTGCCTCTTTACTTCCTTCCTGATGTGCCCTTAGTTAACTTGTCCTTACCCGGCTGCATGGTTTGGGCTGTGCTAGGTGGCTCAGAGTCACGGTGCCTGTCTGCACTGCCCAGCCCCTGGGGAACATTACCAACAGTGCTCTGCCTGCCACCTCCCCGCTGAGGTTTTAAGACCACAGTCTGCACACTCAGTTTTTATTTGTGTACTTTTCTCAAGGCTCTAAGTTGTTGGAAGGCATTACTCATAACTCAATTTGGGGAATATCTATCTAGATGCTCAAGGTTGAGTTAAATATACCAAGTATTTGTAACTGCCTCTCTCACTATCCTAATTATAAGAGGGAGGGGGATGCCAAGCCTTTGAAACCTGAAATCAAGTATTCAGCAAAATGCTGGGGAGACCCACCAATCTGTGCAGCCAGGCAACTTTACATGTTGAAGTGTTGCTACAACCTGCTGGCTGCAAATGATAAATTTAGCCTGAAAGATGGCTCGAACGTTCCAAAGCCTAGGAAGCAAGCTGACTGCTTTGCACAGGGAGAAGGAGGCACACGTCTGAATAGAGCAGGAGCTAGGAGGAGCGAGCTGCCAATCTGTCCACAGTCTGGAGACATCACTCCTAACCCTGCACCCTCTGCCTTCACCCCACCCCAGCGCTGCCCCACCCTGCCCCGCCCTGCCCTGCCCAGCAGCGCAAAGAACTGTCTTCGCAGTTCAATTCAGTTGAACCCAAGTGAAGCCTGGTATTTAGAGGTCTTTGATGTGACACCTCCCATGTTTAGTTTTACACACCCAGGGACGTAGGCGCTAACCTGTGTCAACTGTTGGTTTTAACACCCGGGAGAGAATTGAAGAGGGCTAATGCTCTCCAATAGTTGGGGACAGTCTTTAGGAGGACAGGCACCTTCTTCTTTGATTAGCACACTTCTCATTCAAAAGGAAGCAATTAGAGTCCTGTCAGCCAGGACATAAGAAACGTTTGTGGGCTAACAGTGTTTGAGGGGAGGATGAACTTACCAGAGGCAAACAACATGTGCCTTTATGGGAGAGCCTTCAGCCTAGGAATTTTTTGCCTTGGGCCTACCTTTTGAAAGGTTTGGAAGAAGCCAGTTGTGGGTATCAGCTGGATTGGGTACGGAGACTAGGAAATTCTTAAAGTTGCTGACGAAGTTTTCTCTCACTCTGTGGTTACCTCCATGCCTGGCTTTCTAAATGGGGAAACTGAGCAATGTGTGTCTTTTCATAAGTCCAGGGACTACAAGTTCTATTAACAGCACTGTCTTCTCCGGCTTTACAATTAAAATGTCGCTTTACCCATAAATGCAGGGGCAGGAACACTACTATCGTGGGTTACACTGACATCTTTGTCTTAGAGAGCTCATGACACTTCCTTTGGAAGGAAGGGGCAAGTGTTACTATTTTCATTTTATTGATAAAAGGTGAGGAGGTGAGAAGAGAGTAAAGTGACCACAGATACATAAGCGGCAATGTAAGACTCAACACTTAGGTCACAGTGGACGACAAATGATGGCAGATGAACTTCCCTCCAGCAGCTGCAGGCCTCATCCCAACAGCTGGGGGACTGAGAGCAAATGACACGGAGGGCGCAGGAAAGAACTCATTACTTCTAGAGTGTGTGCCACAGAGGAACTATCTTCCATAAATTGCTTCCATCTAAGGACCCTGTGGGATGGGTATTCCTTTCATTTTAAAAATGAAAACATTGCATCTCGGAGATGTTCACTTGTGCAGGAACCAAAGGCAAGTCTGTCTGACAAAGGCTATGTGTTCTGTCCCCTACACCAGGCAGAACTGACTTCCATAACTTCTTCAAGGTTGAGATCCACTGCATCAGATGACAATGGCTTAGGAAAATTATCTCAGGGTTCCATTTGAAATTCAATTAGCTTAAAACTGCTACTTGGGACCCAGTGACCCCTAGGAGTGGCGTCCGTGATGGTCTCAGAATTCAGGGTGTAGAGTGGGAAGAAGAAAAGTGAATTTATCTATGAAATCTAATTCGGGGTGCCTTAGATAACCCTTTTTATCTCTTTCTTGGCCTCTCTAGAGAAAGCTCTTTGTACAAAGAAGCTCTCCTCTGCTTTGCCACATAGAAGGAATAAGCACTCAATCACCAAGTGTCCTTTCAAAGGGTGACTTAGTCTTTGGTTAAAATGAATTGGGCCTGTCACTTTTAAAGTGATTCATTCCAGTAAAGGATGGAGAATTTATTACTTTTCAAAACAGATCACTGTGGCGTTGACCTAAAAAGGCCCGAGTGAAGCCTGCCGTGCGGGTCTGACCATGCTGGGCTCAGGCTCTTCCTTCTGTCACACAGTGTGGCGCGCCTTTGCACAGGGGTACCGCAGCTGAGGTCTCTATTCTAGTTATTCAATGCTGAGGTTCAAAAATAAGTATTTCAGAAATTAGCCATTTTCTACCCCCAGATATATTAGCAACATTTAAGATGGAATTCATTTCTCCCTAGTTCGAGAAGCTACTCTAAACATGTCATTAGGAGCAAAGAAAGGTTTTTAAAGAAAAGGTTGGCGAGCAGTTAAGCATACCATTGATTTGGCTCCAGTTTTAGTACACGTGTTGCAGAAGTGAGCACCGTCACTGATGTCGGGATAACAGATCCACGTGTGTGTCTCTCCTTGGCCCATTCTCCTTATAAGAATGTGGAGATATTACATGTGCAATTATTAACATCAAGTATTTTGTTAGAGCATCACATGGGTTTACATCTGTGTGAGACGATGGAGGAGATGCCAAAAAAAAAAAAAAAAAAAAAGAAATCGTCAAGCTGTACACTTAAGATTTATGCATGTGATACATCTGATTCTATGCATTTTATACCTCAATTAAGACTTTTAAAGATAGAACTTAAACAGTGCCTCCCAGCATTTAGACAGGCTGTTTATGTTACAGGCACTTCATCATCTTTTCATATATGAAGCTGGAAACTTAGCAGCTTCCAACAGGAGGCCTCAGCCGCTGAATCTTGGTATACTAATTGAGGGAAAGAAGAAACGGCTAATTACAATAACAATTACCAAGTGTCAGTTTTGTGCTAGACACCTTTCAATGTCATGCCAAAACACAAGGGTAGGTGCCCAGGCCAGCTAGCAGCATGGAATCTGGAGAGCATCGTGACAG